AAAAACTAGTGGGGGAGAATGTGATGATATTTAATGTTTAAAGCCTGTTTCTTAATCATATGTTTTATTTTGTATATTAATGTTTTAGAGTTTTTGTAAACAACAACATTATGGCTGATTTTTATAATGAATAAAAGCCACATTTTGGTTACTCTTGTCTTTATTTACAACACTACTTTCGATACTGGTTATAAAGTAGTTAAACCTCGCCATTGCACCGCTTTTAATTTTCATTAACAACAGTGCTCTTGTCTGTGAAACACTGAGAAATAATTGCACTAATTTAATGCGTTACCAACAGACATAGACACAAACATACAGAATACAAGACAGAATTGAGTTAGGAAATTTACTACATAAAGGCCCTGTCACACATGGCGAGTTTACTTGCCGCTATTAGTCGTCACTACTTTTAGTCGCCACTCGTACTCGCAGGCTTGAAAAACACTTCCAGTCCACACATGGAGAGTTGTAGCGGCTACTTCAGTTTGGTTGTGTAGGTAATTACTGTGCTGAGGAAAATTTCATCTTTTGTATTAAAGAGGGAGGCCTTAAGACGTCTGTTGCGGATTTGCAAGTGATCTGTGCATAAATCAAGAAGAAGAATAAACGCAAGTGGGTTCGGGAGTGAATAGGGAGACGAGAGGGTGCTTCATCAATACCAATGAAAGAATTAGCAAATGACGGCCCCTAATCATATTTTAAAATAATGAGGATAACCGTTCCAAAATTTGACGAGTTGTTGGATATGGTATCGCCACTGATTCAGAAAAGAGATACGTTTTGGAGGAAGGCAATTTCATGCAGAAAAAAACTGGAAATAGCTTAAAGATACATGGCAAGTGGGAACATTTAGATTAGATTTAGATTTAGATTTGTTGTCATGAGAGCCGAAGCCCCCTGACTGCTTACCCGGTACCTATCCTACAGGACATACCCGGGCCCCATGATGTAGGCCGAAGCTTACGCATCAACCTTTAGCACATCATGGGCGGATGACTTAAGGTCATCAGGCTCGCCGGCTGCCGAAGCAGACCCTTCGGAAAGAGGGTTGCCCCTCAATCCTAACCAGGGATTCCGGCTGCTTGTTTAAGCGTCACTCCACCTGGGTTCCACTAGGTCGGAACCTAGAGGTCCATAGTAGAGCGCCCCGACGCATTTAGTGCAAGCAACACTCGGGACCTATCTCATCCCTGACAGGCAGAACCCGCCATCAATAGCCAGGAGGAAGGGGACCATCAGCACGCTGACGGGGGGAACCCCAACCTCCCATTTACACCGCTGCCCGATCGAGGCCTGACCCATTGCTGGGAACCAGAGATATCCAGAGCGATAGATCCCCAGATACCCCTGGCGGGCTCGGACCCAGCACCCGATCTACTTCGTTTGCCCGTCAGACCCAACATCACTGCCAGGCCATCAGGGTTTCCCAAAAGGAGGCAGGTATAGAAGTGGGACCCACCCGGATGAACCTATCCACCAGAGGTGGCGACACCCTTGACTCAATTGAGGTTCCGGGAAGAACCCCCCACACTCAAGATAACCATACCGTCCGTGCTCAGAGACAGGGATAGGTTTGCATAAGTACCTACAAACCGTTGCCCTCACACTGCGGAAAGTTACGTTGCCCTTGAGTGTCCCCGTGAGCTGCGGGTACTTGCCCGTTTTCACCTCCAGGAAAGGTTACTTCCAAAGTCGAGGATTTGCCCACTGAATGCTGGTCGCACACCACAAGCAGGCCGAAGCCCAAAGTACCACAGACACAGGTAGGTTAGAGATTATGATGTACTTCCATCTCTCCTAGAGCTAAACACCCCTCCATCCTGGATAAAGGAATGTCACTGGGACCCGATGCCCAGTCGACCATGTCTGTGGCCAACTTGAAATGCCGATACCAACACGGAGCATTTACCTCCCCTCTGGGGGCTAGGTATTTCACCTCCCAGGACGAGGCTACTTCCAAAGTCGAGGATATGCCTCACAAAATGTCAGTCGAACACAACAGGTAGGACTCAGTCACAACCACAGTTACAGGTAGTTGAGGAGAGGCGGAGGAGGAAGCAAGTGGGAACAGCATCGATTTCAAGGTCGGCTACTAGCGACTACTCACCCCAAAAATTGAACATGTCCAAGTTTCCTAGCGAGTGAATTTTTACTTGCCGGCGAGTGCTAGTTGCCGCTACTTACTATGTCGCACATAGCGATTAGTAGCCGCTACTCTAGTCGCAGCGAGTAAACTCGCCATATGTGACAGGGCCTTAACCAAAGCAATGTATACAGAAAAACCAGATTGGGAACGACCTTCCCCCCACTACAATGTTACACAATATTGTACTTCTGCTTAAATAAATCCGTTTTGTAAGTCACAATGTTATTAATCTCACTTGGTTTTGGATTTGCTTGCTTACAAAACCTATACTTTCAGAAATCGTGATCGGAAATGATTGTAGTATTTGTAAACAACATTTAATGTAAACATAACTTATCAGTTACAGCTAGAAAAAAAATTGTTATCCAAACAACTGTTCGTTATTATTTTCATAGATGACATATTTTGTAGTAAATTAGAATTTTAGCGTCACCGTTGCAATGACAGACAGAGCAGACAAACAAGCAGAAATTGAGATAAGACTTGTTTCTACTTTCTTAGGGTACGGTATAAAACAGAAAAAAACCAAAACCTTATAATTCTACGCAATGTACGGACAAATCTGTAATAATTTTATTTAGATCAAATGTTGTATTCATTAATAGAGGATTGATAACTCACTTAAAAATCCCTGGAGTTTGTGGAGTATCTTATACACAATTATGCCAATTTTTCTAATAGGAACTTTTAATACATTCAGCTACGTTTTCAGCTTTAGGACTTTGTAAAGGCTGCAGAATTTTGGATTTACTCCTAAAAGGAGACAAGCAGTACAGGGTGACCGCTCGGCTTGGCATTGCCACAGACTCTTATGATAGAGATGGCAACATTACTGAACACTGTTCCTATGGTATGGGATAAATCATTTGTTTTACAGTACAAAAATAAGCCAGTCCTGCCCTTACCAAATTAAATCAAAATATTATCTTATAGCTTGTATTTTATGTTATAGTTTTATTATTATTATTTATTATATTATTATTATTTTTATTATTATAAAGAATATATTTACTATGTTGAACGTAAATATATAAGTTCTGATTTTTAGTTTGCATGGGATTGTTTTGAACTCTGAGAAAGGGAAAAATTAAAGCTGCAATCACTGTGAAATGTTAATTTCTTTTAATAAAGTATTATCAGAGGAGCATAACAAGGGCAGTCACATAAACTTGAAGTTCCAACAGGCATTACCTTGGAGGCCCCATGTTAAGTTTCAACCCACTTTTATTTTGTTCCAGAAAATGTTTAAAATTCGTCTAGCCAAAGGCAATGGCAAACAAGCAAGCTACATCATTTTTTTTCTTCAAAAAATACATGGGAATTTTAAATGTGCGCCTACAGTTTTTGAAATTTCCCATTTCAATGTTTAAAGGGTAAAAATTAGAAAAAGCATATTTAAAAAAAGTTTCAAAGCTCATATCAACCCATTCCCATGACCCAAACATTCTGAACTCATTCAAGTTTATCCATCTCTAAAAATTCATTACATATTTCATCAAAATTTGACCAAAATTACTTGAGTTATCGTGTAGAATCTGGCACTGGTCGATTATTGACCAATAAAACGTGAGTCCTCAGTGGCGCTGGTCGATTATCAACCAAGACGACATGGGTCGGGTTTTTCTATTAAATTTTATACCATTAGAAAGATGAGATTCTGAGGATTCATTTTCATGTATAAAATATTATTGAGCGAGTATTAAGTAGCGAGAAACATAGTTTGAAAAACTAGAGAGTTCAAAATAGATTTTGGCGGTAAAAAGTTTTGATCACCTGACTACAAAAACAGTTGTTTTTGGCAATCGAAAATTAAATTGTATACAATATTATTACATATTCTGAAACTACAATAAATTCCCTACAATTCCCTCTGAATCTATGAGGTTGATTGTAAAAATTGTATTTGGTTTTGAAAATGTCATAAAATTTATGTCTTTGTAAAAAAATCTTAAAAATTTTACATTCTGACGTAAATTACTCAGAAATGTTAGAATTCAACTACATATAACTATATATTTCCAGAAAGATCTTTTATTTTCTATTATGCAGTATCATATTTATTTTCTGTTAATGCATTCAATTATTTCCTACATGACAACAAAAATTTTGTAGTTTTTCAAAAAAGAAAATATGTACGTAGAATTTATTTTTTTATAATTTTATTTTTATGAGTATTTTAAAAACATTGATATTTCTACGTAGGGAATCATATTTCACACAACCTTTACATTTAGATCCAACGTGTAAAAAATATTTTGTTTTCTTGTGGGTTGCTTTTGAAATTTCTAATTTGCATAATCTGAAAATTTGCAAACCGTTTGCTACTACGCCTAAACGCATTGCTAGAAATTTTTTTTTTATATCATTATAATCTACATTTATCACTGAAACAGAAAATTTATATATACATGTACTTATATTCACAAACAACTGTTCTGTGGCGAAATATATGGTACCACTACAATGGGCCAAAATATACCCGCCACTGGTGAATAAATTGACCGCCAGATCTAGGGTCAATGACACACTCTGACACACTCACACACACATATATATATATATATATATATTATATAACTTACACATATATACAAATTTGAACGAATAGTGTTTTTGGCCTCTGGGGACATCAAAATGAAAAAGTAAATCAGTCCCGGGTATAGGTCTTTCTGTGCTACCTACGGTAATAGCTTCTTCCATATAGGCATATTTGCTATAAGAAACTTAATTATATTTTCTTTGGACAACGATTAATTAGGTCTTTTGTACTGAATAGCTTAACATTCATAAATAATTCTAAAAATATGTAACTGTTGTGTTCTTTTCCAGTGATTCTTAAATACAATTTCAGAACATGTGACAAAAGCAATGATTGAAGATAAGCTCAAAAGATTTATTGGAGAGATTTTTCAAAAACCTCCTATATATTCTGCTTTAAAACGAGGAGGAAGAAGAGTATCTGATATTGCTCGAGCTAAAGAATCTGACCAATACGGGTAAGAAGAGTGATAAGAAAACCATCACTATTGCTTTTATTTGTATTACTTTAGTTTTATTTGTATTATTTTAGAAAACAATTAATTTGACATTTTAAAATGGTTTCAATGTAGTGTGTCACCGTCCCCTAATTAAGTGTAATCTATAGTTGTTTTTGCATTTTTGTATTTAAGTTATGTTGTAACCGTTGTCTTAGTTCTTTTCAGCCTTTTAGGCTTATCTAATCATGAATCACTTGATTTATTCAATGCAAGATTAAGAACAAAGAGACACGTTGAGGTTAACCCCTTGGAATAGGGAGGGGGCACACGGACATTGTCATCGAAAAATTATTCGCGCTTCACCAATCGTACTATCCACATCATTGCTTTAACTCTAAATTTACATACACTTTGTATTTGATTGATAGTTCAATAAACCACAAACTTAAGTTTTTGCAGCATCAAAATTTATTATTTGTTGTTTTATCTTCCCATTCTCGTTGCCTACTCCCCTTGTAGTGGTGGCAGCGATACCTCTGTAGACCCTTGAACTTTACTCGCGACCAGTAAATTAATAAACAAACATTTGTAATAAAATGGATTTAAAAAATACTGGAGGAGTAGGCAAGAATGTTAAAATAAATTACAATTACTGTATAGTACTAGTAAATTTTTAAACCACAATAGAAAAAAATACCAAAGTTCAATTGTGCTTACTGGTGATAGTAACGCACACATCTCCCCAATTACCGACCAGATAACCCCTTTGGAGAACGGTCTACAAGGAGTCAGACAAAATTCTTAAATAGCAGCATAGGTTGAGTTTGGTATAAAATTAAAGGTCTCCGTGAGTAAAATACATGGCAAACCTGAACTCAAACGGACAATGGAGTAAAAAATGACAGCTGTTATAAATATTCCTTGAATTTGCAATGCTTATTATTTACTGTGAGGCACCCAGTAGAAGTCGAATGAAAATCATAAACTTAAGCATAGGTCGATATGCACATCACATTAAAGGTGATTTTTCAAGCTCAAAATATCAGCTGGATGCAAAATGACAGCCATTCAAAGATTCAAAATGGCAGATTAAAGAAATATTTTAACTGCTGCCATTTTTGACTTGGTTGTCTGTTTGAGTTCGGATTTGTTGCATTGTATTTTACTAATGGAGACCTTTAATTTGATACCTAACTCAACCTATGCTGCTATGTAAGAATTTTGTCTGACTCCTTGTAGACCGTCCCCCAAAGGGGTTATCCAGTCGGTAATTGGGCAGATGTGTGAGTTACTATCACCAGTAAGCACTTGTGTGACAGGTTGCCGAATGAAACTACAAAATTCAGCTTACTGAGTTACTGACTTCAGCGAGCGATTTGCTGAGCTGAGCTCAGCAAATTCCAGCCATGCGCGTTATACTTCTGGGAACATTGGCCTGGCCTGGCATCGAGTCATGGCTGACGGAATATTCCATGGTGAGGCAACTGGCTGACGCAGACGTTGGGAGGTTAAAACAGTTCAATATTACAGACCCTCCTTTTATATTTGAAATAAAGCAAACCTTTTGTGACGGTGTTGACAGGGTTTCCTGAGGGTGCATCTAAAAAAAAACCTCCCCAGCTGATATGTAATGGGTCTGGGAATTTTTGGGGCCGTCACACTTGTGAACTTTGGTATTTTTTTCTATTATGGTTTATACATTAAAAATGAGGTTCCAGACTTAATTGTCACCCTGTATGTAGCATAAAGTTAAACAAGCTGCTATACCCGTCCTTCACGACGGGGAGAGGACGCGAAAGGGAATAATGCTGTTCTTTAGATCTGCTGCATGAAATAGTTACACATCTTTCTTTATTTTAGAAACAAAACTTAATTTTGCTACTTAGTGTATTATTTTCTTTAAATTACGACAAGTTATTCAAATTTCCTGAGCAACCATGACTGGGACGGGTGGCGTCGTCCTGTAATCCATCTACCGGTACTAGAGGTCACGAATTGTGGATATTTATAGGAATTCACTGTGGATGCGATGCTTCCTGGTGTGGATTAACGTCCAAGCTAGTGAGTACTACGACTATCCGCAGTACTATCCTAATAATTAGACCAATTCGTTAATTACGAGGAAAAATGTGGTTCAGGTTTCACAATAAACTGTAGGTCCCTTAGTTGCCATTAGCTGTATGGGTTATTTAACAGCTGTGTCTAAGGAAAATGTCGGCCTTAGTCACTAACAAGACTACAAGATCGCGCCACTCATCCTACACTCATCCTTCACTCATATTTGGGTTAAAATACGCACATAGTGGCGTCCCCATCTTAGATAATTGATAATTACATATGGCGCTGTTATGTGTTGAAAAATTCTGTAACCCTATGATTTAATTTAAAATGATAATCTCATTTGAAAGTGTAGACCTACTTTCTTTCAAAACCCTACTACATATATATGAAGTCAATAGATCCAAAAGAATTTAACAACATAACTTAGTGTAACAATGAAATCAAATATGATACTTGATATTGATATTTCATAAAAAATGTTTTACCCAAATTCTTTGATTTCAGCTAAGCCTTTTTTGTAGCTCATGATGTCAATTACATAGAAAACTATGGGCAATATTCTGCATAACTTTTACCAAATTAACTATGTTTTACCAAAACATTAAAATTGTTTTATTTAGTCTAATACTGATGATCAATATTTTTGTAAACAACTTGTAACGTAAAATTATGGCTTCGTCATTTCCTTCTTCTCAAAATTATCTTTCTTTCAACAGAAGAATCATGAAAATCCGTCAAGTGGTTGTGGTTGATTCAGTATCTGGGAATAAAAAAACCCTAGCATGCTTTATTATAATATAAGATAATAGATTGAGTATGACATATTTACTTTGACACTTATGGTCCAGTCTATTCAACAGATTTCATGAAGATAAACCCATAGAAATGGAGTTCAGGCCTGTGACATGTTATGATGTAAAATGTGTAGACTTCAAACCACCATATTTCAGTCTTGAAGTTACATGTGGCAAAGGATTTTATGTGCGCAGTCTCATCAACGATTTAACTAAAGGTAAACAAATTCATAAAATCTTATCTTCTTACCAGATGTATTTTGTTAAAAGGAAATTTGTTATGCTTGTTTAAGTAAAAGCAGTCCAATTTTTGTTATGTTTAGCATACAGATTTAGACATTTATACTTTCACAAATGCTAGAAAAACTATTTTTTTTTTTAAAAGTAAAATTTATTGTAAAAATGTAAAGGTTAGTTTAATTGCATTTATGAAGTTATGTTTATGTGGTGGTAAACATATTTTGTATTCTGGTTTAGAGAGTATAATGACCCAGCATGACTATTACTTGCGAATCCAAGTCGGTGCGGAAAGCACAGCACAGTCTGGCCAATTATAATTCACTGTGGTAGCTAGGAAGTTTAGTTAAGCCATGTTTTTTAGATCTGCCTGTCCAAAGGGATTTTTCCCACCCTCTTGTAAAAAGGCTAGTCTTGTGTTACTCAGCAAGGGGAATGGCGACCCGGATATGCCGTTGTCCTACAGACCTCTTTGTATGTTGGACATGGCTGGAAACTGCCATCAGCTGCCGAAGATTTGTCTCCCCATCAGTACAGCTTCAGAAAAGGGCGGTCAACAATCAACGCGATATCCGAGGTACACAGAGCAGTCGTCATGATCTGTTGCTAGCTCTGATCAAGACAGAGATTGTCATCCTTCCGAAGAAACGGATTGAAACCATCACCCCGCTGGCCGCTACGAGTGAGGAACGTAGTTGTCCAAACCACGCGAACTGCCAAGTCCCTTGGTGTTATGGTGGGCAAGTTGAGTTGGAGGGACTAGATCTTTCGTACGACGGACAAGGCTGCTAGGAGTGTCACTGCTCTTAGTAAGCCTATGGCCAAAGTAGGGGTCCTCAGTACAGCCGTAGAAGACTCTTAATGTCTGCAGTCTAGTCTGTGCTTCTCTAAGGCTCTGAGGTGTGAGCAGACATGCTCAACAAGGAAGCATACAGGTTGAGGCTCGCACAAGTGCAGCGTCAGGTGGCACTCAGGGTAGCTTCCGCGTACCGCAATATCCGAACCGGTCGTTTTGGTGATTTCTGGAGTTATCCCTGTCAAACTCTTGGCAGCGGAGAAGAAGGCAATCTACCAGAGACAAGGCTACATCGGGAAGTACGCTGCAAGAACGGAATAATCGCTCCCACAATTTTCAGGTGTGGCAAGAGAGCTGGGAAAGGGAGACTCGAGGCTGTTGGACTTCCAGACTTATCAGACAGGTCCAACCGTGGGTGGAATGGCAGCACAGTGAGGTCGACTATTACTCAGTTCTCACTCAGTTATCTCACTCAGTTCTTGTCAGGTCACGGCCATTTTCTGTCGTACCAGCACTTGATTGCCAAAACCAATTCAACTGACTGTATTTACTGCCCGAGCATTTCCGACGATGCGGAACATACCTTTTTCCGCTGTCCACAATGGGATATGTTCCCCCGGGAGGCCACTCAACATCTTGGGGTGCTGTCAGGTGAATCTATTTGTGAGGCCTTGCTAAAGGGTGAGGACAACTGGGACTGCTGGTCACTTTTTGTCCGGAATATCCTTCAAGTTAAAAAATAACTATCTAGATCGTATCGCAGTCTAGATCGTGTAGAAATGAACAGCTAGACACGGAGTAAGCCCTTCGGGTGTAGGCGATCTCGGCCTAGTTCTGATTAAATGCGACAAGTGTTCCCAGGCTAGTGTCCAAAAAGTAGAGGAGGTTTTTAGAGGGTAGTCTTTGTCATAAGCCCGTTGGAGTCCCACATTACAGGCCTGCCACCTGTGTGTGTAAATGCATTTTCCCACCTCTCCCTTAAAAAAAAGTTAAGCCATGTGTTAGTGGGTGACAAGCAATAGACCAGAGTCAAAGTAGTGGACAAAAAGTCATTAAGTTTATTTTAAGGTTATGTTTTTAGGAAAAAGCATATAGCTTGGATTAAATAAATATATAGGATGGAGAGGACACAGCTAACTCACCTGATGAAAGGTTGCAGACGAGTCAAAGAACACATAAAACACACACATAATAGTACTTGACATTTCGCCTCTTTCAGAGGCTTCTTCAGAAGTAGGCCTAGATGGCAGTTACAAGAACAACAGTTTGAAATAGGATGACACAGTTTGAATTCAAAATGTCTGACAGGTGTTGTTCTTGTAACTGCCATCTAGGCCTACTTCTGAAGAAGCCTCTCAAAGAGGCGAAATATCAAGTACTATTATGTGTGTGTTTTATGTGTTCTTTGACTCGTCTGCAACCTTTCATCAGGTGAGTTAGCTGTGTCCTCTCCATCCTATATATTTATTTAAGTTTATTTTAAATGTTGCCGAGTCTGCAGGAACCCTAAGACAAGGGTACCAGTCTTTTGAAAGCACTTTTGACAGAGACATCCAATATGGACCAGCTGAAGAATTTTTTTTTAAGAACATAGTTGAATGAGGCAATCACAGAGTGAGTCAAATTCTAAAAATCTACTTTCCACTGCTTTTGTTGCTGTGATACTTTATGTAACATAAAATATGCTACATAGGTTGCAATATTGTGACCTATCGGTCCTATAACTTTTTTTTTATCCCCAAACAGAAAAGTCGACCGGTGTAAGATCCCAGGACCCTGGGGACAATTAAATGTGCCGCCTCTTTCGACCCACTCGTCGAGATTGTTATTAAGGAATTCCAATAAACCAATAAACTGTAATGCGGTGGAGCACCGTCTTGCTGCCAAATGAAGTTGGTATTTTGGTATAAAGGGTTATTTTGTAGCTCAAGCAAACCCCTATCTTGCAACATTTCAAGATATGAATCTCCACAAACAGTGTCTTTAAAAAATATGGGCCTATGATGCCATCACTCTAAATACTAGCCCAAACAGAGTTATTACTGGAACATTTAATTCTTCTTGAAGAACTTCATGAGGGTTCATGTCAATCCAGTAGACACAGTTGTGTCGATTAACATGACCATTTAATTTAAATGAAGCTTCATCTGTCCAAAGAGCACAATTTTGAAAGTTGCTGTCAGATTCACAGCGTATAAAAAACCATTCACAAAACTCTACACGCCGGTCAAGTCGTCTTTCAATAAACCTTGGTCCAGCTGTTGGCAATAAGGATACGGTCTACACTAGAAACTGAAATATTAAACTCAGAAGATCTTTTACAGATTGATTTTTCCGGGGTCTAAACAACAGATAGAGCAATAGTTTCTATGTTGGCTTCACTTGTAGAGGTTCTATGCCTCCCACTCCTTGGTAAATCATGTACGCTTACAGTCTCTTCAAATCATTTGTTCAATTTGTAAATGCCTTGCCTAGATGGAGCTGGAGTTTTAGGAAATCTTTCTACAAAAAACTGATTAACATCTTCACTATTTTTATTTGTTTTCCACCAACTTTTTAAAAAGAAAAGAAAATGCGCTCCTCGGTGGTTAGTTTGAGGTTCATGGTTACTGTCGACGTCAACACGAAATGCAAATGCAAATCCAAATCCAACCTCAAATCTAAACATAAAAATGTCAACAAATAATCTTCACAGCTGATTTTGTCATTGCTAAAAACAGGTTGGGCAAAATTAGTTACGAAAGCATTGTGTTTCATAAGTCAGTTTATATATTAGTACCTGGGGACCGAGCTTTGCTCGGGGTAAATCATTAGTTTCCCCTGAAAGCAATTTAGTATTGCAGATAGATTAATCCATTCCCAAACTCCACACTGCTCGCCTTTACTACCTCCTTCACCACTCCCTACGTCGTGGATCTGTTTGCCCTCCTTCCCTATACCATTTTAGAATTGCAGATACATAATTGCCACAGACAGACAGTCCCCCACGCTGCACTGCATTTCCTACGTCATAGACCTGTTTCCTTCCCTTCTCATAGCATTTTAGGATGGAAGATGCATTAATCTAACTGCCACACACGGTTCCCACACTCTGTGATGCTAAACTTTACTACTTCCTACGTCACTTCCTACGTCGAGGACCTGTTTTCATCTCTTTCCATAGCATTTTAGTATTTTAGATAAATTAATATAACTGCCACAAACATTCCCCAGACTCCGCACTGCTAGCCTTTACTACTTCTTTCACCATTTCATATGTCGTGGTACACGTTTCCCTCCCTTCTCAAAGCATTTCAGTATTGCAGATACATGAATCTAACTGCTATAAACGGTTTCCCGTTCCAACTCTCCACACTGCTTCCTGCACCACTTCTTACGTCACGGACCTGTTTCCCTCCCTTCCCAAAGCATTTTAGGATTTTAGATACCTTAATCTAATAGTTATAAGCAGTTCCCACACTCCAGACTGCTCGCCTTTACTACTTCCTTCACCACTTCCTACGTCACGGACCTGTTTCCCTCCCTTCCTATAGCATTTTAGGATTGCAGATATTTTAATCTAATAATAGTTATAAGCATTTCCCACACTCCGGACAGCTATCCTTGACTACTTCCTTTACCACTTCCTACGTCGCGGGCCTGTTTTCCTCCCTTCCCATAGCATTTTAGGATTGCAAATACCTCAATATAATCGTCATAAACAGTTCCCACACTCCGGACTGCTCCTCTTTACTACTTCCTTCATCACTTCTTACGTCACGGACCTGTTTCCTTCCCTTCCCATAGCATTTAAGAATTGCAGATACCGTAATCTAATCGTCATAAACAGATCCCACACTCCACACTGCTACCCTTGACTACAATGTATCGAGTAATCTTCAGTATTATCTTTGCTCAATAGTAACAACTGACGTTTTTCCTTTTGTACTGTATTTTGTTTTGCTAGTATACTGTGGATAGACAACTTACAAGTCTTTTGTTTACTTTTTCCTTGTTATTTAATTCAAATTGGCAAATTGGTTACTTAGCAACTCATAAGACTAATGTTAAAAAAATGTGACTTTCAGTTTCATTTTTCTACGTAATTAGATTTTTGTTGGCAGTTCTAACTGCAGTAAACTCGTTTTTAGGCCAGGAATAAACTATTTACAACATTTGAAGAAAATCGTCGGAGCCATTTTCGAGATCTTGGTGCAAGCATACATACATACATACAAGCAAACATTGCTCATATTAGGATGTATGTATTATTATTATTATGTATTATTGTATGTGTTATTAAATTTACTGGAAGCAAGTAAAAGTTAACTTATGTCTAATAACACTTAAAACATATATTTATGCTTATACAATACTGTTAACTCACAAGACGGTAAGTATACATAAAAGATGACAATGATTCGCCTATTGGGTCTGATGATGATTGGAGTGTCCAATCGAAATCGATCACCACCAGCTTTTATATCTATTTACCGTCTTGTGAGTTAACAGTATAAGTGTAAATATATGTTTGAAGTATTATTAGACATATCTTTTATTTACTTTCCGCGATAACTTGAGTAAAACTCATTCAATTATGATTTAAATTTAACAAACATGTAAACATTTATTTGAACGTATTTGCGAACCAGCATAAAAGAATATGGGAACTAGGTTTTATGGGGTAACAATTGGTTGTTCAAATTTTTTAACCCCAAAAAATAACATTTTGCATTCTTTCTAAGCTTTTTTGTAGAGCTTAAAAAGATAATTTAGTATGCTGAAGTGTTGATGTACGTTTTAGTACTCATTAAAATTTTTGTTATTTAAATAAGAAATAAATATAAGAATTTTGAGGAAATGTTTAGTGAAAATCCAGCCAGGCAAATGGAAATTTGGTTAGTCTACAGGTTTTCCTGTGGCAGGGGTATTTTATGTTTACTATATGTTTGTGTGGTGCTAGATCTAGGCAGCTGTGGCCATGTGACAAGTCTGCTGAGGACCAAGCATGGACAGTTTACACTGGACGACTGTCTACATGCTGCAGACTACAGCATGGCCAAGGTGGTGGACGCTGTCAAACATAACCGCAGAAAGTTCCCAATGTACAGTAAAAATCTTTAGAGCGACTGCAAAGTCTATACGTCTATTTCAATAATTAGTCTACTGTTGCATATGTGTAGTAAACTATTTACATACATGATACTGAATCGTTTTTTTTTCAACTCTAACGCCTAATTATGTACCTACTGTAATAGATCTAGCTTTGTTAAACTAATAATGAACTACTTTATTTTATGTTCTCATCATTGACAATACAAGTTTACAATAATGTAAAATATCCATGACAATAAAGGATGTGATTTGATTTTACTTTAATTTCAGATTGCAAGTCTTAGATGTTATTTCTGCGATGTTAATAGTTATGTGTTCACACATCTTTGCTTGAATTAAACATAATCCGGTCTGTCAGATATTAATATACTGTATGTATACCTCATCTTGTTTACACAAGTTACACACTGTGGGGATTGGTCGGTTATGAAACATAATGTATCTTCAACATGGTTTTTCATTAACTATGTTTGTGTCTCATGCTGGCATTTACCCACTGTATTTACAAAACATATTAAAGGATTGACTAACAGCTTGATTTCTGATAAATATTTACCGTTCTTTGATGCATTTAAAATTGTTAACTTTTGATTTAAGATATAGAAATTCAAAACACCTAATCTAGCACTACGGCAAATTATAAAGATAAATTATAATACCTATTAAACTTCATTACAAATACCTTCAACTGTGAAGATTACATTTTATAAAATAAGCTGCCTATACATAATGAAAATTAGATACTGCAGGTAGTAAAATATTATTGACTGTTTTAAAAGATCATAGTGTACAAGAATTCAGTATTGTGAATTTTCTGTGGATCTGTTCTGTATAAAACAATGTTTTAGTAAAATAGAATAATATAGTGTGTCATATAATTCCTTTCTATCTGTACATTGTAACATCTGTTCAAATGTTTAGAAGTTGTTTTTGTTTACTATGATGTTAGTTTGTTTCATATTGTTAGTTCTATATCATGGTAGATTCTATGTTCAATAAAGCCTAACTAAAGGTAATTTCGTTTATAATGGTTTTATTCATTCAATCTACAACAATTTATTGAACATAGAAGATTTTATTAAAATATACATCAATCTTTTTTCATGGATCGGATACTCAGACCTGAAAGATTTAATGCCAATCCTAATGAAGTCAATGCAAGTCAAGTTTGGAAACACTGGTTTCACACTTTTGAAAACTTTATTGAAACTAGTAAAATCAGTGAAGAATTGAGGCTTAAAGTATTAACCAATTTCATTTCACCATCCGTTTATGAATATGTAAATGACTGTGAAACATACAAACAAGCAATTGATGTGTTAAAAAGGTTGTACTTGAAACCTGTCAATGAAATTTATGCACGTCACAAACTAAGAATCAGAAGACAAGAGTCTGGTGAGTGCATTGATACATACGTAGAATCTCTGAAGCGACTTTCCAAAGATTGTAACTTTAAAGCTGTTCATGCTGTATCAAGTAGAGATGAATATATCAGAGACACATTCATTGATGGCTTGCTAGTACCTCACATTCGTCAACGGTTGTTGGAAAGCTCTACTTTGTCTTTAGATGAAGCAGTTTCTCAAGCCAGATCACTCGAACTTGCTAAATATCACTCTGAACAGTACAACTTAGACAAGTGCTTACCAACAATCAACGCTGCAGCCTCAAAACCTATCACTGAAAAGAATCCATACTTGTCCAGTCCTGATCCAACACCTTCTGCTGCCAAGCCAGAATCGTATCCATCTCAAGAAAATATAGCGTGTTCACTCAATCAGACATGTTACTTCTGCGGCTTTAAGAAACACAATAGAGCTGTTTGTCCAGCTAAAGAAGCTATATGCAGAGGATGCGGCATTAAAGGTCATTACCAAAAGGTATGTAGAAAATCCAAAACACCAACTTCTACAGTAAAGGCATCAGTCCATCAGTCAAATTGTATTGCCTCAGTACCATCGTGTTTGAGTAAAGCTGTAGTCCCAGTACAATTAAATGAAGTTGATGCATACGCTCTTATAGATACTGGTAGTTCTGGTAGTTTTATCAATCAAAGCTCAGCACTTAGATTCAACATCCCTGTCATTCCATGTAATGGGGGAGAGGTATCAATGGCTTCCACAACTCTGCGTTCTTCAATAAAAGGGTACTGTAAAATCAATCTTAAATTACAAGATCATACTTACAAGAATGTGGTCTTCAGCGTAGGTACTTACAAACTTATGTTCTGACATTATTATAGGACATGACATTCTAAAAAGACACTCAAGTTTACAAGTACAATTTGGAGGAAAAGAGTCGCCTCTCAACATATGTAGTGTGGCTTTAGCTAATGTTGAGCCAGTAGAACTATTTCGTAATCTATCTCCAGATTGTAAGCCTATTGCAACAAAATCTCGAAGGCACTCAGCAATTGACGAACAGTTTATTGAAAGTGAAATTCAATTACTGTTAAAAGAGGGTATTATTGAAGAAAGCAGGTCTCCATGGAGAGCACAAGTCCTTGTTGTTTCATCAGATAACCACAAACGGAGAATGGTTGTCGATTATTCACAGACAATTAATCGTTTTACAGAACTTGATGCATTTCCACTCCCTAGGATTGATGACATAGTCAACAAAGTAGCTTCATACAAAGTTTATAGTTCTATTGATCTTAAGAGTGCCTATCATCAAATCCCAATAACAGAAAATGACAAACCTTACACGGCATTTGAAGCTTGCGGGAATTTGTACCAATTCACACGAGTGCCTTTTGGAGTTCGTAATGGTGTCCCTGCTTTTCAACGTACGTTAACCAACATAATCACTTATGAAAAACTTGAAGGTGTTCAAGTCTATCTGGATGATATAACAATCTGTGGCAATGATCAGGCTGAACATGACAGGAACTTGAGCAATTTTATGAAAGCTGTTTCCAAATATAATCTTACCTTGAACAAACATAAATGCAAGTTTTCTACAGCCATGATCCATCTATTAGGTTATGTAATCAGTCATAAATCAATAGGACCAGATTGCTCTAAGGAGAAGCTCCAGAAGTAAACACCCGCCTTTGTATCTAAAAGACTATGTCAGCTAGGAGGGGAAGAATGTCATATAATTCCTTTCTATCTGTACATTGTAACATCTGTTCAAATGTTTAGAAGTTGTTTTTGTTTACTATGATGTTAGTTTGTTTCATATTGTTAGTTCTATATCATGGTAGATTCTATGTTCAATAAAGCCTAACTAAAGGTAATTTAGTTTATAATGGTTTTATTCATTCAATCTACAACATAGTGGTTGAACTAAAGTCAATTTTTATACGATTTACATAATATATTTCACCCAAAATAAGAAAGAAAACCCATTAGTTTTTAGATTATTTACATTTTCACTACGTCTGAAACGTCTCTACTACAAAAAAGAGGTTTTCCAAATTTTTATGTCAAACATTCTGTCAAAGTTGCCTTAGTTTTCTGACAATTTACTTCATTACCTCTTAATAAATTTTCATTCCCAAATTTCAAATATTTTGAAAGTTAGAGGTTCGACGGCGATCAGATAATATAAGCCCTACTGTGTGGCATTTATATTGTACAACTTCTCTTTTTCTAATTGCCTGATGGAGCTATTATTTAAGGTAGTCTTCTTTTTTCTATCAAACAATACTAAGTTCAAAAAGATCAAATAAAAAATTTCTGAAATATCATGATTTTTAGTTGTAAAATGAGGCAAACCTGACTTGCTTAGTGTTATTCTACCCCATTTCACAACTAAAAATCGTGATATTTCAACTATTTTTTATTCCATCTTTTTGAACTAAATATTGTTTGTTAAGCAATTAAACATCCCCTGTGTGATCCTCTCATCTAAAATAGCTTCAGAGCTGACCATGGCAAAGGCGGAATTGAATTGACAGATTTTATCCAAATAATTTCTAGATTTATGCCTCACAGCCCTGTTTTCAGATTGGGAGTTTCCTGAAAGTATGGTGAATTCCGCAAATGAGGTAAACTGTTCTCTCATTTATGGCAACAAAGGGTAACAATTGAACTGTTTTGCCGTCTTTTTTTTTTGCTTAAAATGTAAGCCACCACAATGTAAAACATTTAACGTTAATTTATCCGATGTTGGATGTATCACCACGGTGGTACTGCCACTCTGTAACCTTCAAATATTCCATTGGGAGATCGATGCATTAAGTGGCCACTTTCGCGTTTCCTCCAGCCACTCACAGTTCTTCGTCTTACTGGTGGCATTTAATTTTAAATTAAGATAAAATACAAAAGTTAACCAAACAACAGAAAACACTACAGCAAAATTTTGATATACATTGTAAATTCAATTATATTGTGTTATATATTATTATATCTATTAGTCTGGACTCATTAATTAATTTTATTTGTATTTACAGCTGATGTAATATTTACAATTCTAAGTTTGAGAAATGAATAAAAACAAGACATTATTTTTACTTCTTACAATTATGTGTTATAATTATTTAATTCAATAAGTACGTAACAATGGCGACTCAGAGGTGAAAATAAAAAGATTTATGCATTACTTACAAGCTTAAAGAGAACAGGACATTCTAAATGGATAATCAAGAAGTGACTGAACATAACAAAGCAATATTGAAAACATTACAAGCTCAAACTGCTGCTCTTGCCCATTTAGTAAGACAACTTGCAAGTCCTAGACCAGAAAACAATGGAGAATATAGTAAAGTCACAACACCCATCTTAAATTCTTCAGTAACCTTTGAATCTTTTGATGAAAAAGTGGAAACATTCAAATCTTATAAAGAGAGATTAGAAAACTTCTTTGAACTGAAAAAGTTACATGGAGAGTCAAATGAAATCAAGGAAACAAAAGCAAGAATATTGATAAATGCACTCGGTGCAAAATATTATTCCCTTCTATCAAGTTTAACAGCACCTGACCTTCCATCTTCAAAAGACTATGAAACCTTGACTGATTTACTGGAGAAACAGCTCTGTCCACAGACAAATGTTCTCACAGAACGACACAAATTTTTATCAAGGGAACAAGGTTCTAATGAATCAATTTCTCAATACATTACAGTTTTAAAACAGCTCTCTATATCTTCAAAATGGAATTGCCAAGAAAAAAATTGTGGGAAACCAGTAAATAGCATTTTACAAGCACAATTTATTCGTGACAGTGAAATTCGGGAACAGATTCTCCAGCAAGGAAACGACATCAGTTTTGAAAAAGCAGTTGAAATTTCACTAGCAATTGAAGCTGCTAAAATACAAAACAAGTTATACGGTACCGATACAGATGTTAAACAAATTTCTAAATCCAGATCATCGAAAAATGTGTCTCGTTTCGATTCTATGAGAAATAAAACTAGAAAAAGCCAACAATCATCTAGAAACTTCAATAGAAGAAGTCTGCTTACAGAACTTGGATTAGAAAATACGTGTTTACGCTGTGGGAAGAATAATCACAAAGCATCAGATTGTAGATCCAAGAACCTTTATTGCAAATCTTGTGATAAGCAAGGCCACATAGAGAAAGTCTGCATTTCATCTCTTATAAGGCAGCCAAT